TTTGTTTTTTTTAAATAAAGTCCACCTGTCTCAGCTCCCATAGGCCTTGGGGGGCCTATAACCACTTTAACTACAGCCTTCTAGCTTCTCCTATTTTGAACTATCTCCTTTCACCCTGTCACATCTTTGTCTAGCCTTTCCAGGTCAGTTCTTAATGCTATTTTTCCATCATTGCCTTGGTCTGATACCCTCCACCTAAGCTTCAATAAAGTCAGCTGGCATAATTTTTTCTCAAGCACAGATGGGACAGTTTGGTTAAAACTATTTTGAAAATGGGGTTTGGTAATCACCATAATATTATGGCCTATCTACCCTATTCTTTGTTGGGGCGGGAATGCTGACTGGAAGTAATTTTAAAGGAGAGCTACAAAAATAAGTTCCTTAGCACCTTCTCTTTCATGGTCCCTTTCATGGAAGTGTTTTAAATGTATTGTTAAGCTGTCAGCTTCTGACAGAGTACCTACCTTCCTCTTAACTGCATGTCCTGAAATAAAATAAATAAGTCAATAAATAAAATGTGGGTTCCCCCCACCCCCTTTCTCTTTTGATATCATAAAAGATCTTTTCTGTGAGAATGAACAGACTGACTAGGAACAAGACTCGCAAAAACACACCATTAGTTTTTACAAGTATTCCAATTCCAACATTTTTAGCTGGAAACTAATTTTCAGATTGAAGAGCTCCCTAAAACACCTATATTTTATATTAATGGCTGGCATCTGAACTACGCAGAACAAGTATAAACAGATTAATGTTGCTCAATAGCCATGAATCCTACTTACATGCAAAGCATATTGTATTTTTTCAAATACACACATTTATCAGTTTTATCTAAAATATAAAAATCCCATGCTAAAATTCTTTTAATAGAAAAGGAACATTTACTAAGCATAAAATGGATAATTTTCAGTAATAGCTCAGAACCATCCCCCCCATCTCAACAATATGTTAAAAATATGTTGAGATGAATCTAATTAAGTGTTACATGAATCTCTCATTTATACTTTTTCCTTGGGAGCCTTGAGTACATTTTATGAGCTCTGATGTGTTTAGGTAGGGATAATAGGTAACATAACAGATGTTTAATATGAATAACTATATTATCCAACAGAACATTAAGGCTATCCTAACTCACTACACCTAAATCCCCTGACAAAGAGCTCTGTAAACTGGAGTTGAGGTTGCACATAGCTATCAATTACTTAAGAGAAGAAGTCCTCGAGAGAATACTACAGTTTTTAAAACAAAAAGTTATAAATGTCAGCTCGGAAGTTCAAAATGAATGGTGTACTTAAAATAAACCCAGACATTAGGGAAGTTAAAGTCACTTATCCATTTCACTTAAGCTCTGCCTTATACCCTGCAGATTTATCCAACGGATGCGAACAGAGACATTTAACCAAAAACACCCAAACAAACCTTTAAGGGATAAAGGTTTCTAAACACAGGCAATTAAAAATTCACAGCATCTGGCTGTACACATTTAAAATCCATGCCATTTTGCAGTGCATGTTGTTGAACCATGAAGTAGATGGACCTAATATTGCTCATGTTCCTGATATCTTCAGTTCCTGGTAGGCCCCCTTTCTAGCCTCATCTGTTCACTCCAATTTAGTACACTGCATTACATTTTGCACTCAACAACGTGCACCCTCAAAATGCTCTTTCACATTTAGAGCTACCTACCTCTGTATTTGGGAGAAGTGGAGTTTATAAAAGTTTTCAGAATCTGTTGGGGGGGGGGG